TTTTCTGCCTCAGGTTTTCTTAACAGGGCCTTCTGAGGGGCTTTGCACAGCTAACTACACAGAAAGCATGCCAAAAGTCTCTCTAAATATCTTCCTCTCCCCCACATCCCAGGATGTCTTTAAAAACCTTTTCCACTCGCTCTGTATCTGGTTCCCTCATTACGATGCTCTTCTATTCCTAACCCCTTCCCCATTAGTGCCTATCAGGCTGGCAGATACTTCAGACATGCAGGAATCATGCAGCATACTCATTTCCTCGGGCTCTCAGACAAAGTACTACCAATTGGGGGCTTAAAACAACAGAAATCACATTGTCTCACAGATCTGGAGACTAGAAGTTCAAATCAAGGTGCAGCTGTGCTTTCTATAAAGACTCAAAGGAAGACTGCTTCCTTGCCTCTGCTGGCTTCAGGTGGCTGCTGGTGATCCTTGGCATTCCTCACCTTCTAGATGCATCATGCCCACCTCTGCCTCCCTCCTAACATTCTCCTGTGTGTCTCTTCTCCTCTTAAAAGGACACTAGTCATGGCAGACTAAGGGCACAACCTACTCCAGTATGACCCCACTTTAACTCAGCTGATTATATTCTGCAACCCTCTTTGCAGATGAGGTCCTATTCTGAAGCAATAGAGGGTAGAACTTCAATGTGTCTTTTGGAGGGACATGATTCAACCCACAACAGTTGCACATCTCAGATCTGAGCCCCAGGGTCTATGCAACTCTACAGGGAAGCCATAACCACATTTTTCTTTCTATCAGTTCTGATGAGCTTCATTAACCATGAAATCTCTGGAAATCTCTGGGAGCAATTTAGAGTGCATTGAAGTTCAGATTTTTTAATCTTTAACTATGCAGCACTCCTCCTCCTTAGCTTCAAGATTTCATCAAAGAGTGATAACCCTCCAGTACACAATTTTCCATACAAGTTTTTCCAGTTTGATTGTGAAAGAACCCTTCTCTCCTCACTGACATGTGGCTGTGTAATTTGTACTAGATATAATCCATCCCGGTATGTACTCATTCTGGCAATGTTGGTCAGTTCTCGTGGAAAGTGGAGTGCAGACCATATGACCTCTTCTTTAGATCTCAGAAAACCTCTCATCATCCCTCTGTTCTTTCTGTGGAATTTTCACTTGTTCCATTCTACAAGTATTTATTGAGTGTCTACTATGTGTCAGGCACTGTTCCAGGCAATTAAAGTACAGTAGTGAACTAAACAGACTAAAAGTCTTCCCCTCATCAAGCTGACTTCTTGGGGAAGAAATAGACAATAAATTTTTAAAACAAAGAAAGAGAGGCAGTATGCCTGATGGTATCAAAACCATAGAGAAAATGAAGTAAGGTAGAGAGAAGGAGTTTTCAGAGGGGGTATAATTTTAAATAGGAGGATAAAGGAAGGTCTCATTGAGGAGATAACATTTGAGCTAAGATCTGAAGGAGGTGTTGGAGGAAGCCAAGATCCAAGGAAAGAGCATTCCAGGTAAAGAGAAAGATGTATGCCAAGTCTCAGAAGCAGGAGCATGGCTGACAGGTGTATGGGACAGCGAGGTGACCAATTCATCCAGAGCAGAGTGTGAAAGGGAGCAGGAAGTAGGAGATGAGAGCAGAGAGACAACAGGGCTGCGGTGGGAGCAGACCTCACAGGGCCTCGTAGGGCATTCAGGTTTCTAACCCGTTCTAAACATGACTCAGAGTTCATTCTGGAATAATATTTCTTGTGAATTTCTCAATGTTCTGGTAGAAACTAGCTCATGACAGTTATTCTAAAGCCCACAAGATCTCAAGTCTCATAGTAGAAGCCAAGACCCAGCAGATATGGTCTCAGACAGTGGAGCAGGTGGCAACCTCAAACTAACACAAGCAGATCTGACATTGACCCTCTCATGATCCAAACAGACCCTCGATTTCTTAAGACACTAAATACTGTTGAGGTTAGATAAAAATCTAATTTTCATTTGCAACTTCTTGTGGGCTATATGAGGAAAGGCTGTGCTGCTATTACAAAAGAGTCAACGACAATTCATGGCTTAAAAAATACAGAAGCACTTTTCTCTTTCTCATGTTAAGTGTTGTATTTCAGGCTGATGATGGTGGGTATGCTCCGAAGGGTCATTTAGGAACCCGGACTAACAGCAGTTCTGACATTTTCAACTCCACACTTCCAAAGTTGTTCCAGTTATTGTCAAGGAGAGAAAGCATAGAAGTCCATGCCAGGGATTCCTGTTAAGTGAATGAGGTAGAAGAAACATGTACCTTCCACTCACATGTCATTATCAAGGACCACATGCAGCTACAGGGTCACCTGGGAAATGTGCTATATACTATGGAAGAAGGGATGGATGAACTTATGTGGATAGTAAGCCTTTCCTCTAGATTTTCCTAAAAGGGTTTTATACAGCACATGCCACAAATTACTGTCTGTCTAGACATCCACGGGCCTGCTCCTTCCCATGCACCCTCACTTCCTGGTTTACCTCCCCCCACACACACAACACACACACACCATCAGACTCCTTCTCTGTTAGAAGGGACCACCAGACTTGCTGGCCATGCTGGGCCACTCTGGGACAGCTGAAAGACCTGGAATCTTCATCCAGCCCCATCCTCCCTCACTTCCAGCAGAGGAAAGTAGACAAGAGTTCCCTGGGATATGTGGTTCTCCCCCACACTGTTCTATTTCCAAAACATTCTAGGGAGGCATTGCTAATGAATAAAATTCTCCACTTCATTATACAAATAATTCAGGATGGCTGGGGCAAAGGGTGTGTGTTGGGGATTAGCAGGAGATTAGAGCAGACAGGTAGGCTAGGGCTTAGAAACCTGCCAATAGAGCTTTACCCAAAGGGCAAGAGGAAGCCAGCGAGTGCTTCTGGCAAGACAGAAACCTGGTTGGAGCTGGTGTTGTAGAAAGCCACTCAGGTTCTCAGAGAAGGAATGGAAAAGTGGGGATGAGAATAAAGGAGAGGCCAGAAGGTGGTCACAGTAATTCTCTCTGGGCCTCAGTCTTCTTGTCTATAAAATAGGGATGATATTAGCTCCTACATAATAAGGTACCTAGTGAGCCCTCAGTAAGCATCAGCTGTCATTATTAATCCAAGGAAAGAAGGTGAGCCCCACACTAAGGCAGCTGTAGTAGAAAGAGAAGAATCCAGATTCAGGAAATATTTTTTTTTTTAAATAAGAAACTTGAGAGTCAGACAATTGTGGGGTAGGGAGAGAGGAGGTGGAGTCGAGAGAGGGTTACCATCATCATCTCCCTTATATGTGAAATCTAAAGAAAGTTGAATTCCTAGCCAGATTTGGTGGTGCATTCTTATAACTCCATCTACTTGGGAGGCTGAAGCAGGAGGATAGCAAGTTCGAGGCCAGCTAGGCAAATTAGTAAGACCCTGTCTCAAAAAGAAAGAAAAAAAATTAAAAGGGCTAGGGATGTATTTCAATCCCAGTATTTAAAAAAAAAAAAAAAAGTTAAATTGCTAGAAGTGACAATAGAGTGACGGTGGTCAAAGGCCTTGGGGGAGGTGGAGGGAGTGAGTAGGTGGGGTTATTGGTCAAGAGATACAGACGGCACCAAGTTTCAGCTAGACAGAGAGTAGGTTTTAAGATCTATTGCACAGCAGGGTGACAACAGCCAATAATAACACGCTGTATAGTTCAAAATAACTAAGATGAAATTTCATATATATATATCATCACACAAAAAAAAGTCAACTGGGCTGGGGATGTAGCTCAGTTGTTAGAGTTCTTGCCTCACATGCACAAGTCCCTGGGTTCAATCCTCAGCACCTCCACCAAAAAACAATGTCAAGTAAGTGAGGTGATAGTATGTTCCTCTTCTTGATTTAATCTCTCCACATATATCAAAACATCACATGGTTCTCCATAAATGTAATACAATTATAACTCATTGATTTAAAATAATATAAATTTTTAAATAAATATTTTAAAAAGGGAAAGTTGCCAGTCACTGAGATTGGAGCCTCCCAAAGGGTGAGGTGACAAGTCCCCCCGAGTCTGAGATGGGGGTGTGACATCGTCCTGGGGTGTTTTCAAGTAGGCAGCAGAATCTCCTGGTCTGGAGGCCGGAAGAGAGGTTGGGCTGCAAAGACGGATTTGGGATCTTCTGCGTAAATAAAAATGGAAGCCACTGGAACAGAGAGCATATGTGGGGAAAGCCGCAGAGAAGAGGATCCAGGAGGTGCCCTGGGAGGGCTGTAAGGGCTGGGAGGAGAAAAAGGTGCTGGGGAGGGAAAGGAGGACTGGTGACGAGCAGGGGGGTGGGGGGCGGAGGGAGAGGTCAGCAGTGCCCATGGTGCCGAAGGCCAAGCCAGTTCAAGATACAGAAGATCCCATTTTGTTAGTGAAAAGGGAATCACAGGGGCTTTGGGGAGTGCAGCTTCAGGGGCTGGTGGGGACAGAATTGAGAACCGAGTAGAGAGAAGAACAGGGAGATGCAAGGGAGAAGAGAAATAAAGTGGATGTGGAAAGGAAAGAGGCTTTACGTTGCAGAGATTTGAAGACACACGAATGTTGGGGAGGAGTCAGGAGACAGGGAGACTGAGGAAGGGGGATGGAGGGAAGTGGAGAGGCTACGGCACATGACCTATGGAGGAGAGAGGGTGAGGCCAAGGGTCCAGGCAGTGGGACTGGCCTTGGGTGTCAGTGGGGAGGGAAAGAGGCAAATAGTCACAGGGACATGGGCAAGTTTGGAGGGAAGGAGGAAGGAGGCTGGGACAGATCTGGATGGAGCAGCTGAGAAGACTCTAAGCCATGTGACACGCCACACATGCTTGAGAGATGTTGTCATGACACAATCGTGGATCAGGGACCCACAGGCCCAGGCAGACCCAATAAGCCGCCCGGCCAGGTAGAAAGAGGAATTGGTGCTTGGGAGGTAGGAGCCAGGTTCAGGGAAGCCAAGCCACGATGGTGGGAGTGGGAGCCTGGGTCAGATTCAGGTCTGCGCTGAGCTGGCCTGGCCCTGCCTCGTTCCCGTGCAGTGGAATCTGGTATGCAGCTCCGGGAAACTGAAGGAGATGGCCCAGTCTATCTTCATGGCAGGCATCCTGATTGGAGGGCTCGTGCTTGGAGAACTGTCTGACAGGTGAGAGCTGGGCACAGCCCACGGTGGGGTGGGGGGAGCAGCCTCTCCCCACTCTGTTCGGCCCATGCCCTCTCAAAGAGGAAAAGATCTGGGAGAGATAGGAGAGATGGGCCTCTCTGGGGGACCTTGGGCAAGTTCCATTCCTTTCTAGGCCACAGCCTCCTGTCTGCCCCAGAGCCTTACAACTTAAGTCTTGGGGCCTCCCCACACCCAGAGGCTTCCAGGTTTCTGGACACAGCATCATGATTGCACAAAGGCAGTACAGATGGACTGCTTAGAGATAAGTGGTCTTTTGACCCCTGCTCAGTCAGCTAAGTTAGGGTTGGAGGAGATAACTCATTAACTTAACACTTTAACCACAAACTTGTTGAAAAACAGCAATTACAGCAAGGATTTTTCTGGGGAAGGAGTTATGTGTTCTACCTGGTCCTTGAGCCGCAGTGGGGAGGCAAAGGAGGGGTCCAGCCCTTTGCCCCAAAGCCTGCAGAGTCACTCATCTTGGCAGGCACACGGTGCCTAACCTGGCCCTTCCTCTCCTTTGAGCTGCAGGTTTGGCCGGAAGCCCATCCTGACGTGCAGCTACCTACTGCTGGCAGCCAGCGGCTCAGGCACAGCCTTCAGCCCCACCCTCTCCTTCTACATAGTCTTCCGCTTCCTGACGGGCTTCAGCATCTCAGGGATTGTCCTGAGCACGGTCATCTTGAGTGAGCCACAGGGGGCCAAGGAACTGGGTTTGGGGGTGGGGGTCACCAGCCAAACGCTGAGAAAGCAGGTCTGAGCCTGGTTCAACCAGAGGACTCCCTGGGATCTTGGTCAAGGTGCTGCCCCTCTCAGGGCCGCAGAGGCCCGCTCTGAACATAACTGCCCTAAGGCATAATAATGGCAGCTATCCATCTGAGGACTTACCCTGAGCCTGGCACTCCACTAGGTACAGTCACATTTCGCCCATGGGCAGGAGTGAGTGATGCTGGTTATTTATATTATAAAGATGAAGAAACTGAGGCAAAACAAGGGAAGCCACCTGTCCCTGGAAAGGCAGTGGTCAAGAGTATGACCCAGAGGGACTGGAGATGTAGCCCAGTGACTGAACACCTGCCTACCTCAGCCAAGGCCCTGGATTCACTTCCCAGCACTGCAAAAAATTTAAAAATAAAAATAAAAAAGAGTGCGAACTGGGAGTAGACAGACCATGGTTTGAGTCTGACCTCCTTGGACCTCAGGTGCAGCATTTGCAAAGTAGGGATGGTGAATCCTTAGGATTAGGAGCAGGTCAAATAGCTATTGAAAGTAGGAGCCGGTGCCCCTTCACAGGGAGGTGCCTGGGCCCTAACAGGAGCTAATCTGATCCCTGGACTCTTTCCACAGATGTGGAATGGGTGCCCACCTGGATGCGGGCCATCTCGTCGACAGCATTTGGGTACTGCTACACCACTGGCCAGTTCATTCTGTCCGGCCTGGCCTATGCCATCCCCCAGTGGCGCTGGCTACAGTTAACAGTGTCTGTTCCCTACTTCATCTTCTCCCTGTTGTCCTGGTATGTGGGCCTCTCCTTTTCTCCTCCCTCCTCAGCCTAACCTGGCTGACCAACTCTGTCTATCCCCAGCACCCCAGTCCCAGAGGCAAGGAAGAGCACCGAGGGTGGGGTAGTTCCTAAGCAAGGCATGCTGCAGGAAGGAGCACAGGAGGGCTCTTGGGGCTGCCTGCAGATGAAGAAGGGGGTGAGTTGAGATGGATGGGATGGAGCCAAGCTCTGAAGAGCACAGAAGTCCAAGGAGGCTTCAACTTCATGTGGAGGGAGACAGAAAGATTTCTGTGGGGCTTTCAAGCCTAGCCAATGTTCTGTTTGTGAAAGAATGGTCCCACGTGGGTGGGGACAAGCAACAGAAAGGAAGGAACTATGCAGGCAGGAGGATTCTGGGGAATAAATATGAGAAACACTTTGAAGGAAGAATCTGCAGGATTTGGGATGTTCCGGATTTGAAGTACAAAGAGTAGGAATGTCCAAAGAGAAACTCTGGCCTGGGGACAGAAGTGTGTGGGTACAAGACACAGAGTGATCAGAGAGCTCATTATCAGCATATAGAACCTAAGCCCGCACTGAGAGACAAGAAATGAGCCTCTATAGCTCACTGTTGAAGCCAACATACTGAAAATCACAAATGAGCCCAGGAAAAGTTATGAAATCTTGCAGCAGTTTTTTTTTAATTGAACATTTATCATGTATAAGGCTCTATTCAACGTAGACATCAGCCTACATTGTCTCTGTTTTTCATGGCATCTCCCAAGGTTACTTGGAAAGGTGAAGAATTGAGATAGAATCTCTACTTGGAAATAAATGTAGCCCTTCGAGGGTTGAGATCTGGAGATGACAGAGCAAGAGAGATGGTCAGAGGGCCCAGGGGGGAGCCCAGAGGCACATCCACAACCTCAGATGGGAACAGAGTAGGAGTAGTCAAGGTTAGGAGAGAAAATAGGAGCAGGTGTCAGCAGAGAACAGTCAAGGGCTCAAGCCACTTCACTGTTGACTTGGGGCAAGTTTTCCTACTCTGAACCTCAAAATTTCTTAGATAAAATAGGAATACTGTTAGCCAGAGTTTTGTGATTCTGGTCCACAGGAAGACTCACTAATTGGAAGCCATTGCCACCATTATTCTCAGGGAAAGAAGAAGAGTTCAGGTCCTGCCCATGGCCTGTGGGTTCTTGATAACCTTGGGGACAGCAGACTCAGAAGATTGCCAGAGCAGAAACCAAAACCACAAGACCATGAAGGTAGATAGCAATAGGTCCAGGAAGCCATCACCATCAGCTGAAACCAGGAGACCAATATCAATTTCCAAGGACCTCACCAGAGCTAGGCTCTGAGAACCTTTGGAGGTCACAGCTGGAGCTCACCGTACTTTGGACCAGCCTTTTCCAAACACCACTCCTTTCTCCCCTCACCTTGTCCTTCTCTGTTCCTCTTCACCTAGTCCCTCAGGTGACTGCTCAGCATAAGTCAACCCCAAAAGCCTAGCCTGGGACACAGTAGAGTAGCGCGCACACACACACACTGCACACTATACACATACACACACACATATTGTTGGTCCTTTGCAGAGACAAAGAATCCTCCAGCCCATTCCCTAGGCCACAGCCCTCACCTTGGCCTAAAATCTCCTTCCCAAGCTTCCCCGAGACTGCAACCCTGACCTTTCTTCAATAAAGAGATGGAAAATTCAGCCCAAGAAAAGCTGGAGAGGTGCACGTGCAGGACCCTCCATGTGTCCAGCCTTGAACATGCCATCCCCTCCCCAGGCTCCACCTGCCCTAGCCTAGGGCCTGGGGCTCTCAGCCAAGGAAGACACCCAACAACAACAAGACACTCAGGTGGGGGGCAGAGGAAAGTCTCTTTCAGAAGGGAAAGAAGAGAATACTGGAATTTGTGCTGGCTACAGGCAGCCCAGGTGCAAAGTTGGGCCAAGTTTAAATTCCACGGAATTTGCCATCAGGCAGCTCAGGTTTCTAGACTTCCTACCCTTTGGCCCTGGCTGCTGATGTTCTTCCAGCCTCTCACTCTGGAGTGGGAGGAGCAACTGTGACTTGACTCTGGCCCCCAGGTGGATACCAGAGTCTATACGCTGGATGGTCCTAAATGGAAGGTTCTCCAAGGCCCTGAAGACACTCCAACACGTGGCTGCCTTCAATGGCAAGAAGGAGGAGGGGAAAAAGCTCAGCTTGGAGGTAGGGGCAGAGAGAGATTTTAGTCAGGGGCAGGACCCTGTGCTCTGCTCTAGGGCTGCCCTCCACTCACTTCTGTTTCCTACGGTCACAGCCCACATCCCATCTTATCCCCCAAATTAATTCTTCTAGTGGGACCGGTTTGTGCCTCTCTCCCTTCCTTTCTTCTGCCCACCAGCTAGTCCACTAATAGCACCCCTGCCTCTCCTCTGTCCCAAGGAGCTGAAGTTTAACCTGCAGAAGGACATCTCCTTGGCCAAGATCAAGTATGGCACAACTGACCTATTTCGGATACCCATCCTGCGCCATATGACCCTCTGTCTTTCCCTGGCCTGGTAACGTACCATCGCTCTCTCCCATACTTGCCAAGGCAGGGGTGATGAATAGGCCTCCAGTAGTCTCACATAAGGGCGATACCTAGGGCATCTGCAAAAGAGGTCAAGGGGCTACCTCCCCTGAGCACCACAGTCCAGACTCAGTCCCAGATATCTGCTGTATCCCTGCCCCACAGCCACATTCAACCAACAGGGTGTGCTTCCCTCTAAGGTCACACAAACGGCCTCCACCCCCAGGGTAAATGCACTAGTACATCCCATCAATGGCTGTTTCCCCAAGCCTGACTCTGGGCATTGCCACCCTCTGGCCCAGCTCTGCCCTCTGGAACCCCACAGAGCAAGGCTGACCCTCTGGACTTCAGACTTGCAGACAGAAATTATGTGTCTCCCAAGTTTTCTCTTCTGTCTGACATTCTACAACTTCCTCAAAACCCTTTCTGTGACCTGGTTGTGAGACCGCTCTCCATCCTGACCATCTCTATATGAATAGTAATGAACTTTTTCAGCACCCTGCAGAAAGGATTCCACAGTTCCAAGAGGGGAAGGAGAAGCACTTGACCCCTGTGCACAGCTCGACTTTTACCTCCTCAATCCAGATGTTCAACTGCTTCCTACCAAGAAAGATTATTTATTGCCTCCTTTGGTCTCTGAGAGTCCCTCCAGTCCCATTATTCTCTAGAGAATAATAAGGGCACCTGTGCCATGACACCCTCAACCATGCCCATGTCAGACATGTCAATCAATCCCAGCACGTTTGCACAGAATGTAGACGCAATCTCAGAAACCTCAAAACTGCCTCAAGCACTCCCCACCAATCAGTTGCAAATGGTACAAGAAATGAAACTATTCACCATTCTGGTGACCCAGTGACCAGTATGGGACGAGGCCTCAGCCTGGCTGCAGATGTTAACCAATCCCTCTCTGTCCCTCAGGTTTTCCACTGGTTTTGCCTACTACAGCTTGGCTATGGGGGTGGAAGAATTTGGTGTCAATCTCTACATCCTCCAGATCATCTTTGGCGGGGTCGACATCCCAGCCAAGTTCATCACCATCCTCTCCATAAGTTATCTGGGCCGGCACATCACTCAGGCCATTGTGCTGCTTCTGGCAGGAGGGGCCATCTTGGCTCTCATCTTTGTGCCTTCAGGTAAGAGGCTGGGGCTACCCCCAGAACCCTCAGATGCCACAGGCTAGAAAGTGGGTGACCAAGACTCCAACTCTGTTGGCTCTGCCTCTTATTCACCATGTTGCCTTGAACTGGTCCCTACACTCTCTGAGGTCAGGTCTCTCTTCTAGAAAATAATTCAGTTGGGCTAAATGATATCAAATCTCTTTTCCAGATGTCACTCGGACTGGGCAAAATATGGTAGAGTCTGAATAGTGTGAGGAATTGCTTAGGAACTGAGCATGTCCTGGGCTCATCACTGCAGAGAAGGATCTGAAATGGGGAAACAACAGAGTCCAATCCATGAAAAACACCCCAGTATAAACTTGGAAAAAACACTTTTATTGTATTTATGTTTACTGATGCATGTACATCCTTCCAAAAGAACTTGAGGTATTTTAGAACAAGAACAAGTTTAAGTGGGAATAGGAATTGGGGCCAGGGGAAAACACAAACACAGCAGGACATGTGTCAAGCATGCAAAGCATTAGGAATAACAGAGGGGCTACTACCTTTAAGCTGGGGTATGAGCTTCCTGGCCGCCAAAGCAAAAGAGGAGGCAAAGTCTGCTAAAGAATAAGAATACTTGAGTCCTCCTTAACTCCAAGGTCCTCCACATTTTCTTCCCTCTGCAGACATGCAGATCCTGAGGACAGCACTGGCTGTGTTTGGAAAGGGATGCCTGTCTGGCTCCTTCAGCTGCCTCTTCCTCTACACGAGTGAACTCTACCCCACAGTTGTCCGGTAGGTGCTGGATTTGGGAAAGGCCCAGCCAAAGGATACAGGGCCAGATGGGAGTGTGGCATCCTCCTACCCCCCAACCCAGGGGTCCCAAGGCCATCCTTTAAGAACCCCACACACAGGCTGCCAACCCTCTCTAAACGCCCCCCAGGCAAACAGGTATGGGCATTAATAACCTGTGGGCCCGCGTGGGAAGCATGCTAGCCCCACTGGTGAAAATCACGGGTGAGGTGAAGCCCTTCATCCCCAATGTCATCTACGGGACCATGGCCCTACTGGGAGGCAGTGCTGCCTTCTTCCTGCCTGAGACTCTCAATCGGCCCCTGCCAGAGACCATCGAAGATGTGCAAAACTGGTGAGTTCTCCGCCTCTGGCCCCCACCAGGGCTCCGCCTGGGGAAAACAGATCAGGGCTCAGGTTTTCCTGAACTTTCTGTCTCTAGGCGCCATCAAGGAAAGAAGAGAAAGCAGGAGCCAGAAGCAGAAAAGGCATCCCAGAGGATCCCTCTGAAGCCTTGTGAATCAGGCCGGGACCCCAGCTGAGGACAAGGGACCCTCCTTTCCCAGTCCTCCAGAGACTGATCCCCGCCAAGATCCTGCCTGCCTCTGGGCTCCGTGGGTACCCTGGAGGTTGGGGGGAGGGCCAGGATGGGTCCATGCTCCCAGGAAAAAGCCTTTGGAGAAGCCAGTGAAGGCATCTCCACCACCACCTCCTTCACAGAGTCCCCATCCCATCCCTGGCCAGTCCCAAGTTCGAGCCACACCCCTGCACTCATCCTCCCTGCCATTCTTCTGTCTATCCTTTTTCCACTGTGTCCCAGCCTTCCCCTGGTGTCCCAGCCTTGTTCTCCTGAGATCCCCTGAATCAGTCCTAATAGTTTCTTCTTCTTGTTCCCAATTCTTTTCTTCAATGGGAAATTTCAATAAACAGCAGTAAAGAATTTAAACCATGCCACTCAGAAATGGAGGTAAGGAAGGAGACCCGTACCATGTGAATATGAGAGCACACACATCTGTCCATCTGTGCCTGGATGTACATACAGATATGGACACCTGGTTATATGCAAGTTGGGTAGATGTGAACATGTGCATATGTCCTAGTCTGTGCTGTTATGACAGACTGCCAGAGGCTGGGTACTTTATAACAATATAAGTTTATTGTTTACAGTTCTGAAAGCTGGGAAATCCAAGGTCAATGCACCAATATTCAATGTCTAGTGAGGCCCTTCTTGCTTCTTCCCCATGTGTCAGAATAATGCAAGGGCAGAAATCTAAATCTGGAAACAGAGCTATGTCAGTCAGCTTTGCGTCACTATGAGCAAATACTTGAGATGAAAGCTTAAAAGCAAGAAAAATTTATTTTGGCTCATGGTTCAGAGGTTTCAGTCCATAGTCACTTGGCCCCCTTGCTTTGGGGCCAAGGCAGAACATCACGGCTGGAAACACGTGGTGGAGCACAGCTCACCTGATGAACACCAGGAAGCAGAGAGAGAGGAAGGGGACTCAGGGGCACACCCCCCCGACCCAACTTCTTTCTACTAGGCTCCACCTCCTAAAAGTGCCACCACCTACCAATAGTGCCATCTGCTACATCCAAGCCTTCAACACATGAGTCCTTGAGGGACATTTACCATCTAAACCATAACAGGATCCCTATGACTTCATCACTTCCCAAAATGTCCTACCTCTTAATACCACCACAACAGGGATTAAGTTTCAACATGAGTTTGGGGGACATTCAGACCATATCAGCATGATTGTGCAAGTGCTTTGAGGTATGTGCCCATCTGACCTGTGCTTGGAAACAGTGTGTGTCTCTACATGTTCCTCGCACGCGTGGGAGCAGATGATCAAACAAGCCCAGAGTGGCTGCAAACAGAAGCTGGGACCCTTACAGTCTTGACTCTCCTCCCCTGTGTGTCCCAATATCTGATCCATGACCCAACCACAGGCCCAGTGCTGTCAGTTTTATCTCCTACTTAACTGAGACCGCCGTAGCCGTGGCAGAATGCTGTCTATTTCTGCCACACTGTTCCCTGGTTCTCTCTAGTCACAGCAAAAGGCCTCAGGCCTCTTCCATCTTAACAAAATCCAAAAGCCTCCCTGGAAGCCAGAGCTCCTTCCAGGGGCTACACTGTCTCTTTCTTCTCTCTAAAGCCACACCTCATAAGGGAGAGGCTGGGTACTTTATAACAATATAAGTTATATATTGCCTCCTCCACATCTCCTTTCTAACTACATTCACCTCCCCATACACTCCAGCTCCCGCCCCCTTCTTCTCTGACACTGCTTTCATTAGGGACACTCATCATCTCCCTGTGCTGCATCCACACCTCACTGCATGTTCGCAGCTCCCTCCCATGAACTGGCTGCTCCTTCTTATGCTCTTCAAAGGTTCTGATAAATGAGAGTCACTTGGTCACTTTGTCTGTCCTGCCCCCACTCCTTCTTCAAAGGTCTGCTAGTCAAACAGTTTCATGACCTTCTACTTCTTGTTGTGACTAACTAGACCAGAAGGCACTCTAGATCCAAATCTCATTGATCACATGCTCCCTCTTGGTCTGAGATCTGAGGTAGAATGTATTAGTCTGTTTCCTGTTGCTGTAACAAAATTCCCAAGGCTGGATACTTCATAAAGAAAAGAGCCCTATTTATCTCACAGCTTTGAAAGCTGAAAGTCTCAGATGAGGTAGCCCAATCTATTTAGCCTCTAGTAAGGACCCCAAGGCAGATGACAACACAATAGTGGGAGCACATGTAGATGAGATCTCTTGATAAGACAGGAAACCAGAGATTCGGGGGGCCAGAATTGTTGTTTTTATAAAAACCAGCTTCTGTGGGAACTGGGGTCCTGTAAGAACTATTTTAATTCCTTCCAAAGGCAACACCCCAGTGACCACCAGTCTCTTAAAGGTTTCATCACCTCCAAACACCACTAAGGACCAGTCTTCCAACACATGCAACTTTGGGGGAGAAATCACATCCAAACCATAGCAGAGGGTTCCATCCATCTCTTGGTACTTGCTTTGGGAAGGCAGGTTAGCATGAATTTGGGCTGGCTCAGAGCACAGAAAGACAGTAGCAAAAAGAGCAGAACAGAGATGCACAGAGAAAAAGAGGCTCCATGGACCCAGACATTAAAAAAAAAAAATGACAAGACTATTTATAATGGTTTTTACTGAATTCCAAGTCCCTGTTCCTTATCAGCCCTGGATGCACTATCTGTCACTGAGTTCTGTTAAGAAGCCCTGAATTCTCCAAATAAATTTCTCTTCTTGTTTAAGCTGAGGGAGTTTTGTTCCTCATTACTAAACAATTCCAAAAGCAGCAATTCTTCCTCTATCATTTCTTAAGCACTGACATCTCTCAGAAATCTTTCCCCAGGACTTCTGCCTCTCACATTCCAATGGAAATATAATATGAGCCATCTGTATAAATTTTCATTGAAATTTCCTAGCAGCCATTTTTTAAAAATGAAAAGAAAAAGATGAAAATCATTTTAATAATATACTAAATATGAAAAATACATTTTACTCAGCCTAACACACCTAAATATTACCATCGCAACATCAATCGATATAAAAGTTATTAATGAAATAGTTTGTAGTTTTAAGTTCATACTAAGCCTTCAAAATCTGGTATGTATTTTACACCAACAGCATAGCTTGATTTGGACCAGCCCAATTCAAGCATTCAGTAGTGGCTCTTGGCTACCATAATGGACAACTTCAACATACTCCAGAGATTGATTGTCAACCACAGAGCTAATGACTACTCTCAAATCTGTATTTAGAGATTTGAAAGAGCACTTAATAAATGCAAGAAAGATTGTATTGCATCCCTGCCTCAATCTTTTGGTGACTTCCCATTGGGATGAAGTTTAAACTCTCTTACAAGGCTCATCAGGATCAGACCCAACCCTCCTCAACAACTTCAGTTTTTAACACCCTCTACCTTGCACCCTAAAACTCAATCTCATCCAATTTCTTTGGTCTAGGGTCTGAAAAATAGAGTTTATTAGTCTGTTTTCTGTTGCTGTAACAAAATTCCCGAGTCCACCAGCAGTGGACTTCTCCCCATCCAACCTCCACTATACTGGGTTAACCCCAAGTCATCCTTAAGGCCTCAGCTTGTATTGTTTGTTCCAAAAAACCTCCTGTGGCTCCCCAGAGCCTGGGTTAGGTGCCCTGGTTATCACACGCTGAATCGTGATTGTAATTGTATCTTAGTGTGGGTTTTACCAGAAGCAGACCCCCACAACAAGGATTTGAATGTGATTTGCTTATTTGGCAGGCAATCCAAAGGAGCAGGAAGTAGGGGAGTAAGTCAGGGAAGGGACAGGTGACCAGCCTGTCACCCAGCCACACAGGAAAGGGTGCTTTTCACGATGCTTATTGCACCTAGTGAAGGAGAGGAGGACACTTCCTAGTTACATGATCAAGACTTAGAATCAATTGGCTTGCTGGTCAGAATACCCCACCAAATCTTCATTTCTCCTTTTCTCCACCAGTGCTGATTCCCCTCCAACCTCAGCTCCTCCTGCTGCCTCTCCCTCCTCTGTACTACAGTGGGGACTCCAACTGGCTCAGTGAATCCCATGAGGCAGAGTCCTCATGGGTCACTGGTCTCATATTAGACTTCAAGTGGCAGTCTTCAGATGGATTTATAATACCTGCACTGTCTGCCAGTAGGATAGCCTAGGCACAAGGCGCAAAGCTCAGTTTGGTCAGAATTCCTTGCTCAGAAGGTTGCTGTGGGGTCAGCAGCACGTGGAGTCTGCTGAACTCTTGGGGTCATTTCAAACTCGTGCTTGGGCGGGTTTGAGCAAGAGTGCTTTATTTGATCTGCAAATTATTTATTTGAAAAGTCTTACAAAGTAATCAAAATCACATGTAGTTCATACTTTAAATCCACAGAACAGAATAAAGTTGTATAAAGTCAATACTTATCCCAGAAAATGAGAGAGAGTGATGGTGGCTAGCATGGTGGGAAGAACAGCAGAGTTGAGCGAGCTGGGTTCTATACAGACAAACTTCTTGCCTGTTCTGGGTTCTGGTCTCCTTATCCACACAGTGAGTTGTTTTTACCTGAATCACACCTTTCAGCTCTGATGGTGTGTGACTCTGTGGCTCTGGAATAATAGGAAATTCCCAGGTTTGATGCTTTCCGACTGAACACAGCCAGAATCTAAGTCCACATGCCAGTTAGCCCAGGGGAATCCAATTCTAAGTTTTTAGTGATCCAGAAGGTCCCCAAGGGATAATTCCCAGCTCTATAAATCATTTGCCATGGGAGCGTTTGCATCAGAAGCTCTCCTTGAACTGGGAGGCTGCTGGGGAATCCCTCTGCTACTCTAATGATCCTGGGAGCTGATCACAATGATCCAAACCACAATTCAGTCCCTGAAGCCTCCAGTGGAACCTTTTCTGGACTCATCCAGGCTTGGAGCTGGTCAGGGACTGAGAAGGGAGTTCTTCAAGGCAGGGTTAGGCACAGGTTTGTAGAAGGAGGGTGCTTTCAAGGGCCCATCACCCCTGCTGTTCCCAGTACTCCACCTACTCCCCCTCAGGGGTACCAAGTCCTGGCAGGAG